AATTAATCCAGGTGTCTACTTCCGCTGCCGCTGCAGGGCTCTGATGCTGTCCCTGAGAGCCTGGGGCTTGCGGCACCAGCGGGACAGGCTGTCTGCTGAAGGGTGGCCCCGGCATCTTCTGAGGAAAGGCCTGGCTCCCGCTGCCCTCCTCGGAGCAAGCTCCTCTTCTGCCCGGGACGTCTCTCGGAAATGGGGATGGCAGAGGCGACACGGAAGGCGCGTCTTCACTTCTTCACTAAATGGCTTGGGTATACATGTTTCACACTGTGAATAATTTGGAGAAGCAGAGTTTCTACGTTTCTAACTTGGCACTTTTGTCGACCCTAGGATTCTAAAATAATCACTTCTGGATAAACAAGATGATTCAAATTAGTAATCATCTCATAGTGGTGTGGATCTTGCTGACATTCAGTGGCAGCACTGTTAACTGCAAAGCCACGCAATGAAGACCGTGCCAAGCTTACAAACTTGCCAATACACTAATAACTTACACGGGCTGGGGTTTGTTGTATTTGCAGTCTATGGACAGATGCATAACAGTATTTTTTTACCTTTTCATATTCTATTAGCCAAGTGGAAGAACATATTCCTCGGACAGTTATCAGCATGTTAATGCTCCTGAGGAATTGAACCTGGTGAAAAGAGCGGGGTCCATGATGGGTCTTTCTCAGAAAGAAAAAGGGAGAACAGCTGATAGGGTGCCTTCTCGGAATGTGTGCCTCCCCCGGGGCCAGGCCTGCCCCACTGGCCCCGTCCCCCATGCCTAGCGCTTTGTGACCCAGCAACATAGGAAGAGTTTCGCCTCACAGCGGGGCATTTGCAACTGTAACAAAGAAAGTTAGAAAATAACAAGTGCACACCTCGAGGAGTGAAATAAAGGAAGTCACTGTGCTGTAAAGAGAGGTTTTCATCTGTGATCATGTCATTCTGTGCCATCAAACAGCAACTGCCACGGTACTGTCCAGCGGAAACAAGTAGACAGCACAGTAGCACAACGATTTGCGGCCATTTTTGTAACAATAAAAAGTGAGCAGCGAATATGTATGGAAAATAAGACAACAGTGTTGTTAACATTGGCTTTCTGTGAGTAGCAGGTCATTTTCAGTTTCTGCTTTGAAACTGTCTGCAGTGTTTGGCTCTTTGCAATCAGCATTTTTCTTCACATTTAGGAATTAATGTGAGACATGTATTTGCATTTACAAGAAACAAACACACCCAAACCATTTCATTCCAGGCAGGAAAATCAGCTATCCATTTTGTTTCCAAAAACGCTCTGGGCTGGCTTCGCAGTGCTTATTCGTGAGGTTGGGGCCTCGGCTCTTCCGCAGCTCCGTAGCACATGGTCCCTGCATGGCTGTTCCTGGGGATGCCACGCCCCTACCAGCTTGGGGGTGGCTCTGCCTGGCCGCTTTGCCTCTCACTCTCCCCAGGGACTTCTTGCCAGCTCCCACTTCAAGCTGAGTTGCCTGCATCTCTGCCGGACACCAGGCGGTCTCTAAGATACCCTGGGGCAAAAACTGAAACGTGTTCAGGAACCACAGTGCAAAATAAGCTGATGTCCAACAGATGGGGTTTTTGCAAAACAAGGTAAGCCTCTGCCAGGCTCTCCCTCAATTCCTGGTCAGCGTACAGTAACAGAAAGACAGTGTGTGCATTCGGGTGTGGGGCTGTGGGTGCAGAAAGCCCTTGACTGGCAGCGGGGTCTCCGGGATGGGCTACTTATGAGCCTCCAGCTGAATTACAGCAATGTTGTCATTTGTTTCTGCTCAATTTCTTTCATATCATGATGGAAATCTGACCGTTTCTAGACAGCAAAGTGAACAGTAGAACTAAAAATTCTACTTTATAGTTTGAAAGGCTCACTTTAAGGTTTTGCAACTTTTAACTGAATCTCTGATAGGCTCGATCTCCCCATGTCCCCACCTCAGGAAATTAGGGGCCTTCTTACCTGTCTCCTTCCTATTCTAACACGATAGTGTCCCCAGCTCCAGATCCTTGTAAGAGAGCCCAGAACATCCATGTTGGAGGACATGGGGAACACTTCCACATGGGATGCATGGAGCGAGAACACTGCTGTCAGGCAGGAAGTCTGGGGGTGAGGTGAGGGCCAGTGGGCTAGGCTGCCTTTGTTCATGTGGGAAAGCTACTACTCGGTGCTTACGAAAATGCAAATAACAACACTACATCCCTGAGGAAGTGGGCATGAGAATTCTGTGGGTTAATAACTGAAAGTGTCCCAAACAGATGGCAAGTGACTGTTCACTCATGACAGTGCTTAGCTTGCACGCCATAAAATCATACCTTTTTAATGTTTTGTTCTCCTTTGCTGAGAGACTACAGTTTTCTAAAACTTACAAGTATCCTAAATTGTATTTCCTTTGAGATTCTGCATGAAAGTCAGATTACTTATAATATATAATATAACATATGATATCATACACATAAGTGCTACAGAAAAAATATTTTTAAAAATACACAAAGATAATTTTTATAATGGGTATTTAAAAGCTAGGAGCATTACTTGGATCATTGTTTTAAAAAATGTAAGGACTTAGCCAATGTTTCCTAAATTCGTAGATTAAACATGGGGAGCATTAGAAGCACCCACACACACATGTCCCAGAGTTAAGAGAAAATCCACGCGGGAGGGCAGGTGGGTCCTACCACACCTCCAAAGTGAGCAGGTCAAATGAGCACAGGGCGAAGAGCTCTGCCCAAAGCTCGCTGTTACCATGGACAAGACGCCGGGCAGAGTGGCGCTCAGAAGCACCAGAGACCAGAGCAGGGGCACAGGGACTTCCGCGGTGAGGCAGTGCCCAGAGAGCTCCACTGTGGGCGGGTGTGTCCGCCCGTCGCTGCCCCTCACAGCGTCCTTTCCCATCCACTGGAAGCACAGGACTCCCAGGTGACAGCGATGTGACCACGGCCTGCCGAGCTGCTCACTCAAGAGCCCCAGGCAGTTTGCCCAGCGGCGAAGTGAATGTGAAGTGAATGCCAGAGTCGGACGCAGCCTCACCCTGACCCTGAGGGTCACTGACCGACCGCGTTCTCTTACACCAGTGACCTGCCAACTCCGTGTATTTCTGAGGAAGTCGGTATTTTCAGGATTTCCAACCAGAGCCACAAGATTTCATTAAATTAATATAACTCTGTGAAGGACTCTGATAGAGAAAATGTTAGGAAATACGAAAGTGACAAGGCTCATGTGGAACAAGAACATCGGTGACTTCTAAACTAGTGTAAATGACACAAACCAGCGACTTGCTGGACCTCTTAGACTCCCCTTGTGATCTCTCCTGTGCCAGTCCCCAGGGAGAATGGAGGCACCAAAGGCCGCTCAGCCGTGGGGACGGGGCAGGGCCGGGCACTGGAGAGACAGAGCAGAGCCCCGAGTGGCAGTCTCCGGGGAGTATGGAGGTGTCAGGAAGGAAGGGTGCTGTCCACGGAAACCTCTAAGCACCCATTAGCACAATTTCTGCGCTATCCAAACCTGGCCTGTGGAAAGAATGCTTACAGATTTCAAACACGTTCCCACAAGACCCTCATGACCACCGGAATTCCTGCTTCATGTGTTGTCACTCGTTTCTACAGCACACACTGACAGAATGTGTGCCACCTCCTGGTGGCGCCCTGTCCCTTGTGTTCTGATGGCCCGAAAGCAAACCACGTCGCATCAGGGCAGGCTGCCTCCAACACTGACCATGCCACACGCACGGCTCCCAGGTACAGCAGCCGCTCTCTTCACGCATGCTCTTTCTCCCGCCTCCGTTCCCTCCTCCTGCTCCACTCACTCCCTTGTTCCCCCCCTTCCCCCTCTCATGGCATGCTGTCTGCCTGTTGAGGATTTATCTTCTACAAGTCCCTGCCAGGGGTGCAATTGCTTTAAATAAATATATCACTACCTCCCAGGAATGTGACAGGGTTTAAATATTCTACAAAAAATAAATGTTAATGATAATTTCATTTTAATAATAATATCAAAGGAAAATGTGCAATAACAATTCACAATTTAAATACTACTTTTCACTTTTTACAGAATACACTTCGACACCTTGAATTCTTTTTTTTTCAAGCTATAATCCTCAAAACCCAGGCCAATGACACAAAGATGAATTCTAGAGAATCTGCAAACAGCAGGTCCCTCAGAAATACTGCTCTAAGTTAGACAAATAAGTGTGCTTTCTGCTGAAAGGAAATTGCTTACCTAAGTAAAAATACATTTATGGAGCACAGTTGAATTAGGAAACAACCCTTTAATCTGACGCCATCTCTATTCCCAGCCCCAAGTGAAAGGTGCCCAAGGGAGGGAAAAAGTACCAGATTTTTCTTACTTTCATGCATTGAATACCGTGAATTTGTGTGCACATCACTTATGCAGCTCTTTATATAAAAAGAATCAAAGTTCACTAAAATGGCTTCAAATTTATCCGTGCTAGGATCACTCTTCACTGCCATAGAAAAGTTGATGATTTGCCAGAAAAGCATCTTTATACTTCTCCTCCTAAATCACAAACAGCGTTTGAATATGAACTGCAAGTCAAAGATGACTCCGAATGCTGGCTACTTAGGGACGGGCACCTAGAGGGGACTTCCCCTCCATGTCTGAGCTCCCTTCAGCCTGATCGGAGCAGAGTGGTGGAAGGAGGAAGCCTGCAGAAAGCAGGCTCTGATGAGGGCTGCCCGTTCCTCAGCACAGCCACGCCTGCAGCTATGAGTCCCCAGCAGGGCCAGCCCAGGGGGAGGCCACCCACAGGTGCTGTGTCCTGCCCCACGCACCCTCAGGGCACCTGGCACTGGCACTCAGCGTGCTGCGAAGGGCGCTTTCTGGATTCCAGGCAGCATGGCGCCGAGTGTGCAGGCGTCGCCTGGGTCTTACTGCTCGCCCGCACGCAGGGCGGCAATCTCAGGAAACCAGTTAGTTCCCTCCCGGCCCGCGTTCCGATGGAAGACGGGTTTACAGAACATGCCTTGCCTTTAGGGTCAGAAGGCAGATCACTCACCATGGCAGACTGGAGACAGACATGGCAGCGGTCTGGGAGTCCTCTCGGTTTTGCAACGGGAAATCAGAAGGTCCAGGAGACAACACCACCGGCACCGTTTGCTTTGCTGCAGAACAACGCCGTTCGAGAAGATCTAAACAAAGAGGAACACAGTGATGCCTCTGGTCTGTGTGACTCGCGCAGACTCATTTCAAACAGATCAGCAGCTGTGTATTGCATAAGGCAAGCCAAAGACAACGCAGCCGCTTTTCCTGAAATATAAGACATCATGAATCAACCACATCTGATGACCTCAATGCCTTACTTCAAGACTAACTGAAAGGTTTTTAAAATGTTCATTCCTTGAAGCAGACAGTACATGGTGCGATAAGGAACTACAATAGATGTTAAAATTTTAAAACTTGATTACAGTAAAAGACACTGCCATTGATCCTCCTCAGAACACTGCCCTGCCTTCTGCACACTGATGCCACCCTCCGCGCCACTTCCTGCAGCAGCTCTGGAAGTCCTCTCTTGTGAGGGTCTTTGGTTGCACTGTCGTGGCTCCCTCAATGCCCTGAGTGGGTTTAGAACATTTACTTCTCACGGTCATGTCACACGGAACCAGGCCTGGCTAATGAGGCGTGTGGGTGAGGACATACCATGTTCTCATGAGCCCACCTCCCTGCTGGATGCACTCTGTGGCCCACGGCAGCAGTCACGCATTTCGGATCACACCTTATGAAGACCCTAAAGAAAAAGCACTTCCTGACCTGCTTCAGAAAGCAGCAAGAGTGACGAGATAAGTGTGTTCAAATCAGAGGAGTATTCTGAGGCAGATTAATAGCAATGTGTCTTTTATTACAATAATCTTTTAAATTTTAATTTAAACATTAACCGTATTTCTGATCACACCAATACTATGTGCATCTACAGCCTGAGGACAAAGATGAATGACACATGCAGAATACATTGGTGCTGCCCTGAAGAACGCTTTCCACGGCAGAGATCATCACCCTGAAGTGAGTACTGTAACAAATTCACACAGGGCACACAAAGAGGGACCCAGGAAAGGTTTCTGAAGAAAACACGCCCCAAATTACTACCACTGGGCTTAGTCACAAGTTTCCCAAAAATCCCAAAGCAAAGTCTTAGAAAAGACAGTTTATTCCCCCCTTATAGAAATGCACTCAAGGAGTCCAAGAAGGATGTGGCAACCCCGTGAACCAAGACCTGGTGTCCTTTCTTGGTGCCCACTCTCAACTCGGGCTTCTTCTTCATGGTCCCAGAGGCTCCAGAGCTCCAGGGAAAGTGACTGTATTCCAGCCAGCAAGCAGAAGAAGGAGGAAAAGTAAGATGCTTCCTGACATGCACACATAACAGAGCGTACTTACTTCACCACTCTTCCTCAAAGGAAGACCGGAAAATGAGGAATTATTCTAGGCACCCATATCCCAGCTCCAGAGCAGTCTCGCAGTGAAGCGGACAGTGCAGGGACCCTGGAGGAGGTCTACTGCTGTCTGCCACCACGCATGAAACTCAGTAACCTGGGCGCCCAAGGAGCTTCGACCATACAATGGCAAACACAGGGAAGGGGAACATGGCCTCAGCCTGTGGCTGGATGATAATTTTGCCTATGATTACTTTATTTATAATTTTAAACATGAAACATTAACTTTCTTAAATCATGCATATATCAAGAAGAAATTTATTGTACGCTATTATTTTGCAGGATGAAGCTACATACTAAGGATAAAAAGGCTAATCATGAAGTATCTGCAAAGAAAGACACCACTGTCCAGGCCCAGCATGACAACACATGCCTCTAACCCCTGCACACCGCAAGGCTGAGGCAGAAGGATGGAAGGCCTGAGCCTAGCCTGGGGAATTTATCCAATTAGGGAGACCCTTTCACAAAAAGAAAATTTTTTAAGAGGCTGGGGATTTAGCTTAGTGCAAAGGCCCTGGGTTCAATTTCCGGTACTGAAAAGAACAAAACAAAACTCTCACTGTCTAACATGGAGGCCGTCCTGTTTGTAAATAAACAAACAACACTACGAAAGTTGGTGTGCTTGCGAGGGGTACAGCGCACAGAGAAAGAACGATGATTTAATGCATTCCAGTTTCGATACAGGCTGACTGGCAAGATTATTCCAACCTGCCAGTGAAGAAAGCAGCTCTGAAGGTCCACATCCCAAGTCCTCTGCAGACTCCAAAACAGGCCTGCGCTTCTGTTCTGCCCATGGCTGGTGTGAAAGCACACAAACTTACGCTGTTAAGGACACAGAAACTCCAAACTCCAAATCTGCCAGTAACAGTTCACTCCCATCTTTCATAATCTGGACTCTGATTCTTATCAAGGGTTCAGCAACCAAGAAAAATATGTACGGAAATTTGTCTGATGCAACGCGTACTTCTAGGTGTACTTAATTCTATCTTTAGTAAGCTGGGCGTCTGGCTGTCATTATTTTAATACCTAATCAAATTTTTTCTATTGAATTATACTTTGGAGTTTTGCTAACAGTATGCAATGAGAGAGATCATTGGAGAATATAAAAAATAAGCAAAACATCAGGCCTATGAGACCAGGTATTAGGTTTGTTGGGTTATTCACCAACACAGAAATGTTGTCTTCATGAGCACTCAAAGGAAAAAGTTCTGTTAGATTTCAACAGCAGTAAAAGTGATCTAAGTTTCTCACTTGCATTTATTCTAAGGGTATTACACAACATTTTACACTTGTTTCTGTGCTTTAATTTATGAGAAGCTCTGAGACAAATTTGTGATATTTCTCAATAAATATATACAATTTCTTGTTATGATTTAAATCTGAAGTGTTCTGCAAAGACTTGTGTATCCAGGACTTGCTCAGCAATGCACCAGTGGTCAGAGATGGGCCTAGAGAAACAACTGAACCAGGAGGCCTCAAGCGTCATCTATGGATCACTGGAGATCACAATTTGATGGCATTCTTGGAAGGCGATGGAAACAGGAGGCAGAGCCCAGAAGGGAGTGGACCCTGGGAGGCATGACCTTGGGGTTTACATACCGTCCTAGTGCCTTTCTCCCCAGCTCTGTCCTTCTGCCTCTTCTTGGCCACCATAAGTTGAGCAGCTTTGCTTCATGTCCTACTACCGTAATGTTTCTGCCTCACCACAAACCTAAAGCAGCAGAGCTGGCTGACCATGGACCAAAACTTCTAAAATCATGAGCCAAAATAAACTTTTCCTTCTTTAAGTTATTTGCAGGTATTTTGTCACAGATGAAAACTGGCTAATCAGAAAACTGGAACCAGGAGTGGAGTCATTGTGACTATACCTGACCATGTGGTTCAAAAGCCTTTGGAACTGGTTTGTGAGAAGAGTTTGGAAAGATGTGGAAATATAGGCTACAAAGAGAAGCCCGACAATGCTATAAGCAGAGCTTCATGGGCAATTATGGTGTGAACTCAGAGGACAATAATGCTGATAGGAATGTGGACAGCAAAGGCCATGATCAGGAAGTTTCATGTGGGGCCATTCACATTACATTCTGACAAAGAACTTGTCTACTTTTTGTCTGTGACCTAAGACTCTGTGTAAGAGTGAATTTAAAAGTGACCAACAAGCTGATCTGGTGAAGAAAATTTTAAGATAACATAGCACTCAGGCTGTGACATGGATAACACCAGCTACTTTTAGCCAGATTTACAGTGAGATTGTAAACCAAAAAAGTAGAGTGGAAAGATTTGAAAAACTTGCAGTCTGGCCAGAAAAGAAAATCATTTCAAGTTGGAGTCAAGAGGTGTGGCTGAAGAGATGAGCCATAAAACCAAGCCAATTATTTTGCACTTGGTCAATGGGAAAGATGCTTGTGGCATCTAAGGAGTTAGCCAGACCCTTCCCATTTCAGGCTCAAGGGTGTACAAGTATGAATTCCTTTGAAAGTATTTGCTTTGAGAAGAGTGTGAGGCCCTCCCTGCTCCCACAGGGTCACCTAGGAGGTTATTTCACAAGATTCATTTCCCTATGTTCAGCCATCAGAGGCCTCTGTAGCCATGGTACAAGCAAGCCTGCCTGCTGCTCAAGCTGGTGGCAGACCTTGGCCTTATCTACTTGATGCTGGTGTAGCAGGCATGCAGAATGCAAGTTATGAGTCACGGAGGATTCAAAGAAAGGTCTAAAAGGCCAGGCAATATGTGACAGGGTCATTATCCCCACAAGGAGCCCCCAAGAGAGCAATGCATGAAGCTGTAAGAGTGAAGCCCAAGCTGCACTGGAGACCCCAGGAAGTGAAAGATGCAAGGAACACAGAATGTCTGCCAAAGAAAGCCTCAGATGGCCAGCAGTACCAGAGCAGAGAGGGGCCACCGGGTGAGACAGCAAGACCATAGGGCAGGGCTGCCCAGGCCCTCTGGAAACCACACCATGCCACCACATGCCCCAGGGGGAGATGTGGGAGTTAATGTTTTCTTTGCTGGATTTAATTCTTGCTTGGATTTCATCCTTCCTTTCTATGTCCCCATTTCTCTTTTGAAATGGGACCGTTCACTCTGTAACACTGTATCTTGGGAGTATGTAACCTGATTTTATTTTCACAGGAGCTCAGAGCTAAGAGTTTTCCTTCATTCTCTGAGGAGATTTTGGATTTAGACTATTGAGCAATGCTGGAACTGTTGAGACTTGGAGATTCTTGGAGAAGGGCTGAATGCATTTTGCACTGTGAGATGAACATAAACCTTTGAGGGGTCTGGGGTGGAATATTATGTTTGGGATCCAAAATTTTCCCCCAAAAGGCTCATTGTGTTGAAGCCTCAGTTGCCCATAGACTGTTTTGGTGGTGAATGGGTCATGAGGACTGTTGGTTAATCCATTGATGAAATGCTAATTCAAGGGCATTGCAGGAAGATGACATGGGAGGCGGGGCCTAGTTGCAGGGACTGGATTGTGGGTGGGTGACCTTGGGGACTATATCTGGTCTCTGGCCCCTTCCTCTATGGCTCTGCTGTCCTCCTGCCTTCTGGCCACCATGAAGTGAGTTTTCCTTCCCCATGCCCTTCCCCCATGTTTCTGCCTCTCCGTAGGCCTAATGGAAACTATGAGCCAAAATAAAACTTTTCCTCCTTTAAGTTTTTATTCTCAGGAATTTTGTCACAGTGATCAAAAGCTAATACAT